CCTTATTTGTTTATTTTAGTTTGTAATATCCATATTTTAATTTTTTTTATTGTAACACATTTTTGTTTTAGTATGGCTATTAAAAATGCCATGGATTCTTCAAGAATTAATATGCTTAATGGAAATAATTTCCGAGCATGGAAACGCCATATTTCTTATCTTTTTACACATGAAAAAACATTGCACACTTTATCCACTTCTAAACCAGATAATGATTCTAATTGGTTTCAAAATAAATGGATAGAAGATGATACAATGGCAAAGGCAACTATGTTACATAATGTGAAAGACAGCATTATTCCGCTTTTTGAAGAACATGAAACTGCAAAACAATTAATGGAAGCACTAGAAAGTAAGTATGGAGTTTGATCGGACACTCAAATTCAATTGCTCTTAGACAAATATAATAACACTCGTATGAGTGATAATGATAGTGTTGGTGATCATGTTAATTTAATGGAATTAATTGCTAAAGAATTATCCAACGTTGATTACCCTTTGTCGAACAAGATGCAAGTAACTACCATACTTAATAGTCTTCCATTATCTTGGGATCATGTTGTCACATCTTTAACTCATAGCGGACGAGAGATTTCAATGGTGACATGGCCTGTACTCTTAGTGTTGGAAGAAGAAAGAATAAAGCGAAGGCGTAAAAAAGGTTTGTCTTCTAACTTGTTGATGGCACAATCTTCGTCATAACCACAGAATAATTCTCACACACCATTTAACAAGAAAAAGACGACTTCATTCAAGAGAAACTGAAAGAAGGGGTTTCAGAAAGGATGAAAGAAACAACAAGAATGGAAAAAACAACAACATCACAAGCATCAGATTGACCCATGTTGCAAGTACGGTCAAAAAGGTCATATCAAAGCCACTTGTCCTCAGAAGAAGCAGAAAAAGGATCATAGCCCTGTTGCCATGACAGTTTCTGAAGCAATGGTGCTTGAACCTTCATCAAATTCATGGTGGATTGATTCTGCTGCAATTAGGCATATTGTGCAAAATAAAAACATGTTCGTGGAGTTTAATGAAAAGAAGATTGGTGAACATAGAATCTACATGGGCAACAACTCCTATAGTGATGTTTTGGGCGTCGGTAACTGTCAATTCTTTATTAATGGAACTTCTATTATGCTTCATGATGTGCTTTATGTACCTAGCATTCGTCGAAATTTAATATCAGTTCCAGTGTTAACCCAAAAGGGTTTTGAGATTAATTTTAGGTTTAACACAGTGTTGATTAAGAAAGGGAATATAGTCGTGAAAGGTGTAAGAGTGAATGACATGTACTCTCTTCCTATTGATAATAAAAATAAAATATGTATTTATGATTATTTGTCTGTTTCTATTAGTAATAGTTCTTATTTATGGCGTCTCAGATTAGGTCACATTAATAAAAATAAAATGTCTCGAATGTTTAAAAGTGGTTTATTGCCTAGAGCGTGTTCTGATAATTTTGCTATATGTGAACCATGTATCAAAGGAAAAATGAATAATAAGCCATTTTTAAAACATTGGAAATCATTGGAATTACTTGAAGTAATTCATTTAGACATTTGTGACCCTTTAAGAACTAAAACTCATCGAGGCATGGAATACTTTATTACTTTCACTGATGATTATTCAAGATATGGACATATCTACCTTCTTAAACACAAATCAGAGGCAACTGAAAAGTTTAAGGATTATAAATTAAAGGTAGAAAAACAACTTGGTCGGTCCATTAAAAACTTGAATAACGATAGAGGTGGTGAATATGAAGCTATGGATTCTTTCTGCAAGGACAATGGTATAAAACATTTGTTTACAATGCCATACACCCCACAACAAAATGGGATTACCGAAAGACGAAATCGTACTCTAATGGAAATGACAAGGTCTATGATGACTCATGCTGATCTTCCTATTCATTTTTGGGAGAAGCTTTGTCTACCGCTGTATATATTTTAAATCGAGTTAAAACAAAAGCCAAACCTCTATCTCCTTACGAATGCTGGTATGGTACTAAACCTAATGTTCATAATCTCAAAGTTTGGGGATATAAAGCACATGTGCTTATTTTCAAACCTTTAAGGGATAAATTGGGAAGTAAAACTTGGGAATGCAAGTTTATTGGCTAGGTTGAAAATGAGAGTGGTTATTGTTTTTACCATCTCGAACGTGGATTACAGAAAGTAGAGATGCTATTTTTCTTGAATCCACTGATCTTGTTACTCCTATTGAACAAATTGAATTGCTCTCTGAAATATCTCAGGATTCTTCTCTTCCTTCTTTGTCACACAATCCACATGTTCTTCTCGAACCATCTAATAGTGGGAGCAAACGCAAATTACCTAACGTTGTTTTCCTTGCTTCGAATTCTGAGATAAGTGAGAGTCAGAGAGCAAGACGTCCATCTACGGTTTTGAAAGATCATTATGTTTTTCAAGTTGAAGACCTTAATAACTTAGTAGATGATCCTACTACTTATAATGAAGCAATGAGTAGCAATGATGCTACACAATGGCTTGAGGCAATGAATGAAGAACTTGACTCGATCAAGAAAAATGATGTTTGGGAATTAACTGATCTCCCAAATGGAAGAAAAGCCATTGGTTGCAAATGGGTTCTTAGAAAGAAATTCAAAGTGGATGGAAGTTTGGAGAAATACAAGGCCAGGTTAGTAGCCAAGGGTTTCACTCAACAACCTGGAATAGACTTCGTAGATACATATTCTCCTGTTGCAAAATTTGCCTCAATAAGAATTCTAATGGCGGTAGTAGCCAGGATGGATTTGGAATTGCATCAATTAGATGTTAAAACAGCTTTTCTCAATAGAGAATTAAAAGAGGAAATTTATATGATGCAATCTGATGGTTTCCAGAACCAAGGCAACGAGGATAAAGTTTACAAGTTGAAGAAATCTCTGTATGGACTTAAACAATCTTCAAGACAATGGTACTTGAAATTCCACTAAGCTATTTTAGAAATAGGCTATGTTGTGAGTCCATTAGATCATTGTGTTTATATCTGGAAAAATGATGACAAGTTAGCAATATTGTCTTTATACATGGATGACATATTGTCAGCAGGAAATTGTCCAGATATGATTATAAAAACCAAAACTTTCTTAGCATCTAGATTTGAAATGAAAGACATGGGTCTTGTAACCTATGTTCTAGGAATTAGAATTTCAAGAGATAGAAATTCAAAATTATTATATCTAGATCAAGAGAAATATCTAGACAAGGTGCTTAAAAGATTTAATATGGATAACTGTAATTCTTTAAGCACGCCTATTTGCAAGGGACAAAGTCTTAGTAAAAGTATGAGTCCTCAAACTAAGTCTGACATTGAGGAAATGAGAAATGTCCTATATGCTCAGGCAGTAGGCAGTCTAATGTATGCTATGACAAGTACAAGACCTGACATCTGTCATGCAGTCGGATTGGTAAGTAGGTTTCAATTCAATCCAGGTAAGGAACATTGGCAAGCAGTCAAAAGAATATTCAGATATTTAAAAGGCACTAAAAATTTGAAGTTATGTTTTGGTTTGGTTTGTGTGATCTAGACATAAAAGGATACACTGACTTGGATTTTGCAGGAGATATAAATGATAGAAAATCTACTAGTGGTCATGTGTTCTTGTTTGGTGGAACAACAGTTTCTTGGTTAAGTAAGAAACAGAGTTGTGTTGCGAAGTACACTATGGAAGCTGAATACATAGCTTGCAGCACAGCTGTAAGTAATGCAGTCTGGATAAAATGATTTGTTGACAGTTTACAATTAGGTATACCTGCCAGACCAGTCAATATGTTTTGTGACAATCAGTCCGCCATCTCATAAATAAAAAGTGGAGCGAATAGCTGTAAGGGAAAACATATTGATGTAGGTTACCACTATATTCGGGACATAGTGGAGAGAGGTGAAATTAAAGTAAACTATATACCCTCAGAAGAGATGGTGGCTGACCCTATGACCAAAGGGTTGTCTTTGAAAAAATTCAGAGAACATGTAGCTAATATGGGATTGAAAAATGCCTAGCTAGGCAGTTTAGCTACTTATATAAGAGCATAGTTGGATGACTCTGGGGACGCCTAGATAACCGATGTTTTACGACTCTATCTTGCATGGAAACATGCGTTTGGTCAGGTAATAAGATAGAGGAACTGACAAGATACAAACATCATAGTGAGAATAAGAAGTAAAGTCCATGATATGCAATGTACTGACTAGATGATGTTGTCTGCTTTATCAGCAATAAAGTCGTTGATAAGGTGTGTTAAGGAAAACCTTTAGGAATGGGCTTTAGAGGAAGTACTTAACAATAATTTCGACTCAGGTCAACACATGAGAAATGTGTGTGGCTAAATTCGTCAATGGTGATTGGGCACTATGAACCTAGCACTGGAAATTGATGCTTTTCATTTGAAATATAGTGAATTGAAGTAATCTGGAGTGTGTTGCCAGTAGGAGAACACATTCGTACAGGTGCGGTCAGATTGATGGCAAAAACGTACACACGTATGGCCAAGTCACGATTGGATGTCGATCTATGAGGTACATTTTATAGATGAAAGTTGGCAAGAGGCAAAATTTTGGTACCAAGGTAAACATGCTAAACTCAGGTTTATCACCTCATTATGATGTGATCAAGTGGGAGATGTTAGATTAAGTGTGATCACACCATAATGTGGTGTGCCTCTCCGTATTGAATAAAATCTTGATATAGGTGACCTGGAAACTTTCCCGCAAGGTAATTGAATGATCTGGAAACAAAAACAGGGTGTTCGAATTTGAACACTAAAAGACACAATGCTTCACATCATATTTGAAGCATTGTGATCATTGCCAAACAAGTGGTGACTCATGGCAATGGTAGCCAAGATGTGTATAAATACTTGACATATTGGGTTCACTGATTTGCATTGAAAATCAACATACATTCACACCCTGCTTTGTCTCTGGATTATCAATTCCAACTTGCGTGATAAATACCCTCACGGGATAACCAATCACTTAGCCATTGATTGTTCATCTTTCAATATACATAAGAGCCTACAAAATAAATAATTCAGATAATTGAAATATGACACGTGATGGTTTCATAGGCCAAACAGCACTGTTCAGTCTTCACGGATGGATACGAAATAAATATGGTTCAAACAAAAAAGTTATGTATCCACGAAAGGTGTTCAAAATAATAATAAAAAAAATGGTATAAACTCAAATTTAATGTATTGTTGGTCCCACTGAAAAGAAACTAGCCTGCATTATTTATATTTTTGAACACTTTTCTATATGGTACAAGAGGAAGCATATATGTGCACGACACAGTGAAGACTTGCCATTATATAGAGGGAAAACATGCCTCAAGTTAGAATTCATGCAAAATAGCATTTGGGTAAAGGGAACACAAATGCCACACTAAAATTTAAAATTCACCACCAATGAGAAAAGTGAAAACAAGCTCCATAGCATCTGCTTAGATAAAAACCTTTGATTTATTCATAGATCCATATCAGACACACAGTAGCAACAGATGAGTTGTGAAGGCTGGATGTATCTCATATAGTCAGGACAGGGTTCGATTATGTATTGACCAATACATTTTAGATTACTCTATCTCTGTATTTGTTGTTGTTGTTAACTCAACATATAGTTCTCCTACATCTCTTCCTCTCTGTTATGGCGTGTTTCATTTACCTTCCCATGCATAGCCTCCCACTAGAAGGTTTTCTAAATTTCATCATGTGACATCTCAACTTCTTCACATCTGATTGTTGGAGAGGTTTCAGCATGAACTCCTGAGCTCCTTCTTCCAAGCATCTGTTCATGTCAACAAAATTCATGTGAATTAATACACGAGCAACTTATAGAAAAGGACAAATTAAAATTAATAAGTGTGCTAAAATAGGATGAGTGTAAGAGTGAGTGATTACTTCTTGATTCGAGTCGAGACATTCTTAGATGACACTATCACTACTGGTATCTCTTTCAAGTCCGATGATTCTTGTCATTCAGGAAAAATAAAATAAAATAAGACTTCTACTTGGCAAATCATAGGTTCTAAGCATTGTAACATACTCATAGATGCTTAATCAATGTGAGTTGATTAATTGGTGAATGTTTAAGAGGGGTTATATTATTATTTTACCTTGACTTTTTTAAGCAGTTCATACCCTGACATTCCAAGCATACAATAATCGATAATTATCAAATTTACTTTGGAGTCCTACAAAAATTGTCAATGCCAGATACACCTAACATCTTCTCCAAGAGACATCTAATGTTGAAAATTAATTTATAGTGTACACTGTAGAAAATTATAGTGCAAGAACACAGAGTTCATTTGCCTTAAATCATTTTCCACAAGTGGGAATATTTTCCAAAAAGAACTATTTGAAATGAATGTGGTTTTTGGGAATGAATCTTCTGCCTCGATTTTTCATGTATCCGAGTCTTAAAAACACTCTCCTCATCACATATGATGTGCAAAGTTCTAATTAATTATCTTGGCGCATCGTGTGGGAGAGAGAGAGTTGGAGTAACTAGTTAGTGTGACAATGCTACAAATTAATCAAATGTCATGTTTTATATGATAGCTATGTAGACCTACACAACTGAGTGGTGTTAAATTCATTTCTGACATTATGATTCATGGCAATCGATAATTTTTTTGGATTTGAGATATGGGGATAGAGGATTTCTCTCCGAGATTTTATATCCTCCAATGATGCATTTTCACTCTTAATACTGTTGAATATAATTAGATGTTAAGGTAGTTTACTAGATATACACATATTGTAGTAGGTTATGAAGGAATACTTAGACTATTGTTGATGGAGTGTTGTCCGTCTCCTAGGCCTAGAAATTCCAAGGCCCTTTGCCCATTCTCTGTTGTAGTCACTGCATTACAATCATATTATGTTCTATATCAAAGTCAAACAAAGCTATTAAAATCCACAACAACTATACAGTGAAATGTAACCAAGGAATTGACTTTGCATGGATCAAAATTAATAGAAAACTAAAATTGAAGAGTTCAAGGTGAGTGATTGAATCCACTAGTTCCTCATATAAAGTTATTTATGAATTGAAAGATATATTGCAATAGCGGACTATTTCACCACGTTTGGTTCCAAAAATTCAAGTACATATTTTGTTTTTTTTGTTTTTTTTTTTTAAGTAATTTTTTTTTTTTATATTTTGCACAATTTTTTATTTTTATTTTTTTTAGATACACTTAATTAAAATACACTTAAAATATATAATATTTGTGAAATTTTTTAAAAAGTTCACCAAATACAAAAAAAAATTAAAAAATACGAAAATTTAATACATTTTTATATTTTATTATATTCAATGATTTTTTTTTAAAATTTTTGTACAAATTGTTTTATTTTTTAAGTATATTAAGATTAAGCGAATCTAAAAATTTAAAATAATTGATTAAAATATTTAAAAAAGTTATCACAAATATAAAAATATGAATTGAAAATTTAACAAATTATTTCCAAAAACTGAAAACCGAAGACCAGACCTTTTGAGGCTATGTTTGGCATGTGAGATTAGAACTATTTTAGTCACAAAAAGACAAAATAGACTAAAAAGTCAATAAAAAATATCATATCTAAACCATAATCATTTCTTTTTTTCTTTCACAAAAGTTAAAATAGCCAAACAAAATCTGCCCAAACCAAAATTTTTAGCAAAAAAAGTAAAAAAACCAAAAATTTAACCCACACTCAAACCAAGGCTCAATAAGCAAATCATTTTTTATTTCGCTAGCATTATAGGCTTGAGCCCAGTTTGATCTATTGGGTTTGAAGGCCAATTACTGTTGATTAGCTCTCATTTGAATGATGTTTTAATGATTTTTCTTTTCTCTTTTCGATTGGGAGTTAATTTAGTCAAAAAATTAATGAGATAAAATGTCACATTTAAATTATAATCATTTTATTTTTCTCTCACATAAGTTAAAAAATCCAATCCAAATGAACTTTTTAACACCAAACTAAAATAGCCAAAAAAATCAAATCACTTTCCAAACGAAGACCATCCCATTATGCAACAGATAAAAAATAGACACTGTGAAATTTTATTTCTCTTATGATTAAAAATTGGATCAATCAAAAAAAAAAATTTTAAAAGAAAAAAAATGAGCAAAGAAAAACAATCACAAGTGAAAAAAGAAATACCTTTGCATGCATAGTTGGTGAGAAGCCTTTCAATGAGTTTTCTATCAACCAAACTGTCATCAACAGCTAAAACATGTGGCCTCTCCTCTTTCTCCTTAATACCCTTACTTGATGATGAACAAACCATTTTCCTTTGCTTTCTCTAGAACCAAACACAAACCTTGGAAAAGAAAAACAAAACAGAAACTACCCTAAAGAAAACAACACACAAAAAGAGCAAAAGAAACGTTTTTCTAACAAAAACACGAACCCTTCCACACACAGAGAGAGAGAGAGAGAGAGAGAGAGTACAAACGGGTATCTATATATATATATATGTAGATGTAGATGTGTGTATGTGAAGAAGAAGGAGGGGAAAAGAAGACAAAGAGATCGTAATGAAATCAAGGATTACAGGTATTTCGTGATCTCCTTAGGCCATTGGGATACGATTGCACAAAGACCCAGAAAAAAACAGAACTCTTTCTCTTTCTCTCTCTCTCTCTCTCTCTCTCTCTCTCTCTCTCTCTCTCTCTCTCTTTTCGTCTTCCTAATCCTTTCTTCTTCTTCCAATATATACTCTTCTCATAGAATCAAATCACTATATCCGAGATCTTCTAAAGCTCAGTACTGGAGAATCCTCCTCCTTTTCTTTTTTCAGAATTTGAATTTATACTCCTTCTATTTTTATACAAATTTCTAAATTGCATATATCTTTTACTTTTTTATTCTATTATGGAATTTGTGTTGTCTTCTTCTAATATTATTACTTTTTGTGTTGTCTTTTTTCACAGATATAGTTGAGTTCCATGTATGAATTGGTATATTACAATTAGGCCTTGTTTGTCGTAACTTAAAAAATGTTAAAAAGTCACTATCCTATTTAAGTCACATCATTTTATTTAAGTCACATTATCTCTCTACCACATCACTTCAAACCCAACCCATATTTTATAAAAAATCAAAAGGTGCACTTATTTAGATCATCCCAAACCACCCCTAATTAGTGTATTAATATAATATATATAAATTATAATACTTAAATTTTTTAAAATTATGATATATTATCTAATAATATTCCAAAAATATATATATATATATATATAACAATGGAAGGGTTCATTTGAAAATGTCTTTGAAATAAATGCTTCAGATCTATCTAATTTAAAAAACAGTGGCTCAGATTTATTTTTAAAAATATCTCTCTCACAAACTATTTTTAATGGTTTAGATTTGTCCAATTTAAAAACAATGGCTGAGATTGAAAAGAGTTTCAATGGTTTAGATTTATCAATGGCTAAAATTCAACGGTCCAGATTTGTTTACCTATCAACTCTCACTAACCCACTGCACTTTACCAGGTAAGGCACTCTTTACATCATATGTATCTATGAACAAAGCTTTGATAAAGCTTTGAAGAAGGAAGAAAGATCTAAAGAAGGAAGAACAAAGCTCAATCGAAAGCTCTCATCTCCACCATCACCATGTGAGACACTCTTCTCTCCTCACTGTCTTTTTGTTTTTCGATTCATTTTTTTACCTCTGTTTTTTTTTCATCATCCCGTCATCCCCACCTTCAGTTTGAATGCTAAACAATGGCTCAGATTTTTTTACCTTTAGTTCGAATGCCAAACAATGGAAGAACAGAACAAATTATTTTTTTTTTACCTTCAGATTTATTTTGAATGCTAAACAATGGCTCAGATTTTTTTACCTTCAGTTTGAATGCTAAACAATGGCTCATATTTATTTTTCTCTTCCATGGCTTCACCCATTGTTTTTTTCTGAAGCAAAAAAAAAAAAAAATTTTTTTGAAGCAAAAAATTTTGTCTCACATTCGGAGGGTTGAGATTATATTTATCAAACATCTATGGGTCAAGATGATTTGTTTGTTTTAGTTTTTTCCCTCCAAAATGTGTCTCTTCACTTACTTTGTCTCTCTTTCCCATGTTAAGAGATAGATTCATCTCTCTCTCTCTTCTTACATACTCCACCAACTCTCCATTTTCCTCTCTGGTTTTAGCTCAAATTTTTCTCTCAGTTTCGGTTCTGCAATCTCTAGCAACTCTTCATAGGTGACACTCCTATTCTTCTCTGCTCTTTCACTCTTCTAACCTATGAAATGGGTTTCTATTTCTGTAAATATTGAAAAGGGTTACAAATATGATTGATTTTGATTTCATTAAAGTGGGTTTTTGTTTCTATATGTATTTTAGAAAATATGATGGGTTGAAAATTTACATTTTCTTTTTGTACATTTGAAATTAGTTGCAAATATGATGGGTTTATGTATTTCTATTTCATTGATGGGTTTTATCAACTAACCTATGATCATAGTGGGTTTCAGTTTTGGTTTTGATTTCTATAAGATTGTGAGAGGGTAATTTGTATAGCCAAATTGGGCCGAGCTAGAAAGCATTGTTTCTGAATATTGGGTCGCGTTGTGGGCCAAGTTACGAGCTCAGGATAGCTCAGTATGGGAACAATGGTTAATAGGCCAGTCGGTGAGCTCTAGTTGCAGTCTGTGGGCGAGCCGAAGTTCTATGTTGGCCACGTATAAGGAGCCAAAGTGTTACGTCAGCCATATATAGGAAGTCGAGCTAGAGGTAGCCCGGCGAGAGGATTCAAAGCAATAAGTGATCATGCAGACCGGTCGGTGGTGATTACTGGACCTTGAACTGCGTAACTTGGAGTCTGTGGTGTTTTATTTCTAAAAGGCCGAGCTGTGTGCAGCTCGGTAAAACACAGTGCGGTTTAGAGCAGGTTATCTCGATTGGGCATCAACAGCCGAACAGAGTGTGGCTATCTCACTTAGACAAGTAGTAAGTAAGGAGTTATCAGAATATGCATTATCCTTGGGAATGTAATTCCTAGGAGGACTCTGCTAAGGAGAGTAGAGTCCTACTAAGATTGTGCAAACCATCTCACTTGGTTGGTAGTGAGTAAGGTGTGTGATTCCTAGGAGGACTCTTATAAGGAGAGTTGGAATCCTACTAGGATTGTGCTAGATAGAATCTATAAAAGCTCATAGCATGACCTATGTACAGGTATCCCAATTCTTACTCTAGAATACACAGAGCTTATTGTTTATTTTCTAATTGCTGACTTAGGCATCGGAGGGGTTTCCTGCACACACCCACCGATTAGCTCACGTTTGTGTTTTCAGGTAGTAAAGCGATGACGTTTAGAGGAGTGCAAACTTGATCAACAGGATTATACGAGAAGATTATTTCGTGCTCGTACAGATTGTATTTTGGTTTTGTATTTTGGAAATGGGTTTATATTTCGATTTTGGATTTCTACGAAATGAGTTTCGATTTTGGGTTCATATTTGTGGGCTTCATCAACTAAGCCTATGAGGATTTCAGAAAATTATTGAATAAGATTTCTATGAGTAAATGGTTGCTGATGACATGGGTTTCTATTTTGGGATTGAAACATTAACATTCTGTTTTTGGTTTGGTTTTGTTGCATTATAGGGCTGTTTGCGAGAACTATTTACAGAAATAAAAAAGGCATAATCAAAAGCCCATTTTATTTTGCACCCTATTTTTGGTGATAATAATTCCTATAATCTATTAAATGCTGCTATTGAGGATGAGCTTTAATAGAAAAAACAAAAATGTTAAACATTTTAAATGACCATTACATGTTAAGAATCATATCAAATGGGGGTTAAGGACAAATAGATTTCATGTTAAGAATCATTTTTATTTCATCTTATGGGTTGAGACTCTCTTTAAAAAAAAATTTTGAAGCAAAAATCTCATTGAACCCTACCAATGACAATTACATTCGGACCACACTGAAATTGAAACATTAAAGGATGTCTTCCTCTAATAAGGCACCAAAGCTCTCAAAGGACTGATAACTAACCCATAATCTATTAAATGATGTTGTCGAGGATGAGCTTTAATAACAAAAACAAAAATATTAAGAGATTTTAAAAATTTTATCAAATGTCTCAAAATACAAAATAAAATTTTGTATTGTGTTTTTTTCTTTAATAATCAATTGGGTTTCAACACCCACTTCTCTCTGTCTCTATCAAATGGGGGTTAGGGAAAAATGGGTTTCATGTTAAGAATCATTTTTATTTCATCTTAGTTAAATGGGTTGAGACTCTTTTTAATTATCAACGGCCATAATTATCAATAGCCATATTTTTACTCACCAAATATGGGTTGACAAAATGACGGTTTGTCAGAATTTTTTATTTTTGTGATTTTTATTTTGTTCTTTTTTAATTTTTTGTTTGATTTCTGATTGTGTTTTGTTCTTACTTGCAGATTGTTTCTCAACGCTTTAGTTAGTACTTTGATCTCTGTTTTTTGGATTCTCTCTCTCTCTCTCTCTCTCTCTCTCTCTCTCTTTTAGTTGGCTGTTGATTGTTGATAGAAAGAGGAAAATGAAGTTTGAATCTTATGCATTGTTGTTTGGTATGTGAGAAAAAGGAAGGAAAAGGAAATTGAAAGTTTCAACTTTCTTCACCGTTTCATTGCTTATAAAACATATAATTAAAAATAAATAAATAAATAGAACTTTTGAATGGAAAGTATGGAAAAAAGGGTTAAGGAAAGTGTAACAACCCCGATTCGTAATTAGCTACTAATCCATAATTAAGGATGTTAATTAAGTGGGTAAAGTAAATTATGTGTTTATTATGTATTTTGTATGATCTTTGGCTTTCTATCTGTTACTTGTGGAATATCTGTCAAGGAGTCTGCTTTAATATGAAAATTGAAAGCCTTATCGGCATCTGAAAACCGGAATTAGTTACATTAATATGTTATTTGGAATTTTTTAGAATCATTTGGCAAATTTTTATTAAAAAAAAAAAATTGATTCAAATCGATTAATTAAGTTGTGTTTGGATGGACCAAATGCTCTAATTAATGTATTAATACATCAAAAGTATGTAAGTTGCCTTATAAGCTCATTTGTGCTTAACAAACTTGATTCAAGTGGGAAAATCTGAGAATTTATTCAAGAGTGAGAGTGAGACTCCATTTTAGAGAGAGAAAGTGTAGATTCAAAGTAGAAGTTGTGGATTTTGCTAGAGTAGCTCAAGTTTGGCAAGGATCTTGTGTAATTGAAGGCTTTTGGTGAGCATCTAATCCATAATTCATGAAGAATTTGTGTTATAAA